TGCACTGCCTCCTGGAGTGTAAAGTTGATATTACCATAGAAACGGCGTTTTGATTTTTGGGGCTTAAAATTAAACTATATTTTCATTATTTCTCTCAAAAACGATAGGTATGGAAATTTGAAGAAGTAAACGGGATTAACCATTTTAGAACAAACAAATTTTTTATAAAGAATAATTTTTTTTCTCAAAAACCCGATAATAAAAAAGTTTTTCTCTTGTAAAGACGACCCGGCAACATACTGTATATGTGATTTTTTTAATCTTTAATAGATCAATTTGTAAGAAATGGCCACTAACTTGTAAGTTGAAATGATGGCAATTTTTAGTAGAATATATAGAATTTTGTGTAAGCCTATCTATATGAATTGATTATATTGTTAAATTTAAATGGTTTATTTGCGTGTTTTTGAAAACCTATATATAATTTAAAAAACGTTTTTATAGGATAAGTTACTATTAAGTGGAGCTTGAATGAGTGATGAGTCCTTTTAAAAATGTTATTTAAAGAATTAAAAGAGCACAAAGGAGAACAAACCTTTTAGTCTAAATAAATAACTAATTGTAAATTAAAAGTAACAAAGATAATAGGTATTTTAGGGAAGAATGTTGTTAATTTAAAAGGGAACACTAGCTTTTGACACTGGCTAGCAGCATAGTTCGTTTTAGTAACATTTTTAACTCATTTTTTTCTGATCATAATCAATATATCGTCATATCAGAAGTATTTGTTTGTTTAAATTTAAAAAAAATGAGCTAGTGTTAAAAGTCTTGAGACCTCACTCGTGTGTTGTGACCCAATAGGAAAATAGCCATTTTAGCATCCTTCTCGTATGTGTATGTCTGCTCTTTGTAATTACTATTTGTCAAATACTTGAATGTTGCACTGTATTCTATGAATTTTCGTCCTAATAAAGCAGCCTTTAGATTTGTTTCTTGAAATAGACAGTGGTATACGAAATATTTATTTTACTCTAACTGATAATAGATATAATTTAAGAATAACTACAGATAAAGAGGTTCTCAATTAACTTACTTAGTTACCAAGATAGTGTCTTTATATGTGTTGTTTATTATGTTAGTCAGGTTAATAATATTAGTACGAAGATTTGTATTATTGTCTACTAGATGTCGCCCTAGATTTTTGTAAACATGTCAAAACAACTGTAAATACACTAGACGTCTTAATTCTTTTAAACATCTCTTTTTTCATAGGGTTAAATCATATATCTACGAGATACAAGGGTGATTCAAAAAAAAATCTTGCAAACAGACTGAAAAGTTTCAATTTGACGTAAAAAGATACCAGTTAAAATTTGAGCCCTTAATATTAATATTAAGACTGTCCACATCACGTTTTTCTATTTTCCATAAGAATACCATGGACAAATTTTGTTCTGTACCTTATGAATTTTATTGCTAGCCTGTCGTGTGTCAAAAAAGATCCTTTTACTTATTTATGTAAAGAAATGAACGCTCTACAAAAAAGGTCTCTTATGATTTTTCGAGAAACCTAATAGTTTAAGCAAATTTTAAGGTTTTTGATGCATTACAGCAAATTTTATCGTTTTATTGGAACAAATCACCCAAAAATTCATGCTTATCTTAAATTTAGTTTCATAAGGTGCGTATTCACTTGCAACAAAACATTTTCCGAGAGCGCCTGTTTGCGGTGTTCGCTGCGTTCCCACCAGTAATCAATGTTAGTGTGTTTGTCGACATGGATGCATCTGATATTACCATAGCCGCTGGTGCTTTTTTAATTATAGAGGCATTAAGGGGTAACAAAAAAGAGAAGAAAAGGAAAGGACGAAAAATGTGGGCAAGACGTCTCTTTTTGCGCCGTCAATATAATATGGCCTTACTTAGTGACCTAGATTATATGCATAAGAAGAATTTAATTAATTTAATTATTATGAACAGAGTCAACGGTCCAATTCCTTCAAGTTCTTTGTTCCTACTACTCTAGTGGCGGAAATCTAACTGTTACGCTCAGTTGGCTCTGACTCGGTTGACTAGATTTTGCCACGCCCACTCGGTGCCCACTGAGCGAGTATATAAACGCTCAACTTGTAGATTGTACTTTAGTTTATAATCATCTGCTGATGATGCTAACATGGTTAGCGAAAAAGGTGATTTAGTGTTTATATTTTGCTGTGTAACACCAAAGGTTCCAACCCTCAACTGTAATAATCTAAAGACAAAAAAAAATTTCAGTCATTTTGAAATACTTACATAAGGAATAATAACTTTTCACCTATAATTTTGGGTATTCAAATTAGTTACCATGACTTTTAAGATATTTACAGACTATTGAATGTGATGAACAGAAAAACATTTTAACGTGATTTTTGTTTTCATAAAAAAAATTATAATAAATCTTCAAACTATTAGATTTTATTAACAATTATTATTATCTAAGAAACTGAATTTAAGATGTGTTAATCAATATTGTTAAATTTTAAGGTGATTTGTTCCCGTAGAACCATCAAATTTGCTGTGTGCATCAAAAACCTTAAAATTTGCGATGAATTGAACTTTGGCCTCAAATAACTCTTAAACTATTAGAATTCTCGAAAAATCATAAGAGACCTTTTTTGTAGAACGTTCAATTCTCTACAAAAATAACTAAAAAGATTTTTTTGTGACACACGAGAGGCTAGCAACGAAATTCATAAGGTGCAGAACAATTTTTTTCCATGGTATTCTTATGGAAAATAGAAAAACGTGATGTGGGCGTCTTAATATCAATATTAAATACTCAAAATTTAATTGGTATCTTTTTACGTCAAATTGAAACTTCTGAGCCTGTTTGCAAGGATTTGTTTTTTTAATGAAGCCTAAATATACATACAACTGGTAGGCCATTATTCAGATGTAATATATGCCAGCATTGAAAAAGAGAACATCAACATAACTCTAACATACAAAATTACCATTTTATTTTAATAAAAAGCTTTTTATAATAATTTCGGAGATGTTTAAAAGAAAAATCAGCTTGTTTCATGTACCTATATCGGTAATTAGACAATAATGTATACCAAAGGAAAAAGTACCTATATTTATTTTTGTTATAGGATATCTCGTGGTTAATCCAATTTTTAGCTGTAGGGCGTTTGGAACTATGTATTTTGCTGCCTATTCTCCTAAAAAATATCGAAAGGGCGCCATCTAGGCGATCTGTACTTAATGTAAATTAGGAGATATTTCATTTTAAATCTATATTACCATAATACATTTTGACTTGGGAGTTTCATTATATAAATATATATCTTCCATGAAAGATCTTACGTGTTCTTTTACCCTCACAACCTGAACATATTACCACTTATTTGAGACACCCTGTAGATATATCTCAAGCCCCATCTCGTAACGAATTGCAGATTTAAAATGACAGATTTCTGTTTTATGGACCACTGCTGCTATCTGTCGAGATATTCGTATACGATAATATATCGCAATAAAGAAATCTGTAAAAATTATTGTCTCGCCATCTTATGAGTAGTAGTAAAACAAAGGCGTAATAAAATAGGTTTCTGTTTTAAGTGATTGTTCTGACATCTAACGGAATGTTAGAAAACATTTAGGTTTTAGATTAAAGAATTCTGCAATTTATAGGACCAAAAAATGTTGGGTCAGAGCCATCTATACGTAAAATAATATAACACAGTTTATTCTAACCTTACAATTTTCAAAAAAATTAAATATTTTGGAAAAGTTTTTGTTGGCTTGGTATGTTTGGTTTAAAATTCATGAAAGTATTCTGTGTTGTACACACAGGTTGTACAGGGGTTGTACATAACTTTCAGCTATACGAATTTACTGTGAGCAGGCTTTATTAGATGTTATGTAGGTGTCATGAACTAGGAAAAATAATGATATCACCGAATATTGGATGGTATTCAGTTTGCCTTGTTTGCAACCAATACAAAAGACCAATTCTCACATATAATCTTTGAATGGGACATTGTCAGAAATATCTACTGCTTTTCGTAGTGAACCTATCTCAAAAGTGTAAACTTATTTCAGAAGATAGTAAAAATGAAAGAATTTATACTCCATAAAAATAAAGGTTGGTATTTTACCGTACAAAGGCTAAAAGTTAAATTTATTTGTATTGTGCCTCGTTTGACATAAAATTGTACAGTAAACACAGCAGATACATGCAGAATGCAAGAAAACCGCATACCAAAATCTCTGTTTTGCGGTGAGCTTGTAGATGGTAAGAGGAGGCCGGGTGGACAACTCAAAAAGTACAAGGACATTTTCCACGAAAACTTAAACGGGATTAATATGCAGAATGAGTGGGAAGAAACAGCTCACAATAGAACCCAATGGAGGAGAATTGTAAACTCAGTTAACATCGACAACCAAAAAGTAAAGAGGCAACAAAGCAATGAGATTTTTGAATGTCTGGAGGCAGATAACATCACGTATCGGGCTTTTCAGTCAAAGAAAAGCTCATGAAAGGAAACGCCTTGCGTGACCATCTTCATGTCAAATACTCGTCAGCGAGTAATGGCAGTATATATGTATGTGCAGTAAACTCACTGATATTAAGTTAACTTGGACCTGGTATGGGTAACTATGCTGTGCCGTGTTATGAAAAGACAACCTTATCTGATATGTTGATATAAATCTATCAGATTTACACTTGAGGTGAAACTGTAGTTCATAAGTTCCCAAAATAAAGCAAGTTAAGGTGGCTTTGATTCTTATGTAGTGTAGGAAAATACCTTAATCTTTTTAATGACATACCTGTTAAGGTGTTTTTCTTTAACACGGCAGTATAGAAGATTGAACTTTCTTGGTTTTCTTTCATAAAGAAATTTTTATTTAATTCAAGTCAAGCCAATAAAAAGGTAAGTTAAGTATCCACGATATATTTAATAAAAAATGGTTAAATTGATAAGATTTTTATATAAAAACCTGTTTTTACCTAGCTATTTCATAAATATGTAATGTTTATTCACAATTCACAAATTTCCTGTATTTAGCATTGATAAAAATATTTTTGAATGTTTGAATGTATAGATTTATTGTGGGATGCAACCAGTAATACAAAAATATTAAATTCGTTTTTCTCCGTTTTATATTACAAATTATACACTTATACAAATGTTTTTAACGCTTTATATTTCTTTATTTCACAATACATATATTTCTTTATTTCACAATACATATATTTCTTTATCCAATCCACAATTTAGACGTAATATTATTTTAATACAGCAAAAAATGATCGTGCTCAATCTGACAACGTTGACGGTGCGACATTCTCCGTGCATTCTCCGTTGGACGCCGTATCAAGACCTTACGTCGTTCTTACAATTTTTCTGATTTTTGGTAGAAAAGGTGATTTTTCTGTACACTATTTCAGTGTATACTGTTCATTAAGGCCTGTTTAAGCTCTTGAAAATGTAAGTACCCATTATTTAGCCTGTTTTCTATAGTTTTTTTCACTTTTAAATATTTCAATTACATCATCGTTAAAAGCCGATACATTTTTCCGATTTTCATAATTTTCTTTTTCGGAACCGATATATGGAATATAGATACTTCCCTTGATGTCCCTAAGGTACATTTAAAGTATAGTTACGAACAATATTGCTCCATATTTAGAGATATTTGGTATTTCTTGAAACTTTTTTTTGGTAGAGTTTAAAGATGTTTTTTGTGAAAAGTTTTTCCTGTGTTTTTTTGTTGTTTGTTCGTACAGACAAGCCTGTATTTTCTACGTCTTTTAGAATGAGTCAGTTTTATAATAAATAAAGGGGCACCACAATACTAATAATTATATAATATTTTCAGATAAAAACTGTTACAAACTAAACTTTGTTTTTCGAGTTTGACTGTTATGTGTACACTTTTGTCATAATTTAGTTACAATTTTGCATTGTTTCAATATATGCTTTAATTGTACTTCTCATTTTTAGGAGTATTATTAATAATACAGATCAGCACATAATGACCACATAAAAGAAGAGACCTTGGTCACCTCTTGTATAATCCTGATGTTTGGCCATCATTCTGGTTTACGAGCTTGATTATCTATTATCTGATTAAATGTAAGTTTAAATTATTTATTTTAATTACATTTATATTTAATATATTTATTAAATGTTTATTAGACTAACCATAGTTTTAATATATATTTAATGAACACACAATAAACAAAAATATTAAACATAATTATTATAGCATAGTTTTAAAAAAATAATAATATTTATTTATTTTTTTACAGATTTTAGTACAACAAATCAATGGATGCGTACAGTAGTTTCAGGGCAGTACATTTATCCTTTTCACGAATATTACGAACAATGGTATCAGGACTTATAAGTATATCCAAATATCTAAAATTTTATTTCTTTTGGGTAAATATATTTATACTGGTTTTTAATGTTCATCAATGGATTTCATGATTTCCAAATTTAATTAAGTAGGAAAAAATTTCCAATGAGTCTCTGACTTGACATTTTTTTTGTTCTTTATTCTCATAGAAAAATTCAGATCATCTATTTTTAGTTTGGGGCAATTTTGGCTTTTGGTAATTTTTTTCTGTTTGGTATAATAATATAGGGCATCCACTTAGAACTTTACTTAATGGCGTTCATAAAGATGTTTTTTTTTTATTTTGTGATTGTTGTTTTCTTTGGTTTACTTCCATTTCTCTATAATAACTCCCATATTTTCTTGATTGTGGAAATAATATCTTCATTTATTGTTTCTATATAACATATTCCATTAACTGTATTTCTTAGATTTTATTTGTTTGATAAAATATACCATATATTTTACTTCATTTTGCTTTTGGTTAACTCTCCTTTTTCTATAACTTGACTCCTACATATTTTTTATTGTGGAAATAATGTCATTGTGTTTATATAATTTAAACACACAATCACACGATTAAAAATCTTCCTAAGTCCTTCCTAGTCCTAAATAAGGACTAAATTCTTATAAATTCTTTTGCCATTTATTAAAAAAAAACCTGACTCGTCCACAGGATATCTTCTTACTTTTCTAGCATTTTTCCAATGAATTTTCCTGAGTACTATCGACTCCAGAGCATCATAACTAGCCTCCTCTAAGAGGAGGAGACCTGGGTCACCCCCTAACCCTGATGTTCGGGCATCGATGACCTATGTAGCATGCATAGGTACCCAAGGGAGTCACCACCCTCTGGTTTACGAGCTAGGTGTTCTAACGCTAGAGGCTTCGGCCGGATACGACCTGGCACCCAAGCTCCGAGACTTCTTCGTGCACGTATTCCGTGACCCTCGAAGAGAGGCAGGGGGCGGGATATCGGACACATTGAAGATGATGAGGGGGGTCCGCCTGTAGGGGGTCCCGGTGGATGTCCGCTCGATGGGTGACGAGGGTGACCCGAGACGAGGCTGCTTAGCTGGGATGGGAACTGACTGGTGAGGCTTAATCGTCGGACAAGGGTTAAATCTGATGAAGGGAGGCGACCTTATATGCTCTGGAGGATTTTTCTTTATGTGCTTGATGTCAAATTTTGACTAGGTTTATAGTTAAAAAAGGAGGAGGAGGCTAAGCATAATCTTCGATTAATTATTTTCCAGTAGTTCTTATTGACGACATACTGCTTTATTTTTTTTTTCTTTCTTCTGGTCTCTGTTATACAATTTTTATCTGTCATATTTTCTTTGTTACTGAAATATCATCATTCCTCACCCTTCTGTTTATTGATTGTCTTATTTATTTATTTGTATAATTTTTTGTGTCACTTCTCAGACTTTTCTAAGACATAATATTTCAACATTTCTATTGCTTGTGGAATTGTATTTTTTTTATTTGTTTTTATACAATTTTTTTCAGTTTCTCTTTTTACACTGCTATAATTCTAAGACTTTCAAGTCTTTGGTTTCATTTTTATTAATGCCTGCATAGAATTTTATATTTGATTCATTTTTCTTCTTGATTTTCTTTTTATTCCCTTTGAAATTGAGTTTTTGTATGGGATATTGTACTGCTTTGGAACAATGATTTTTTGAGACAGCTGCAGTTCAACCACCCTCTTCAGGATGACATTAGATTAACTAGATTCAATATTCAACAGCGTATTGAGAACGAAATTCATCAGTTGAAGAGGAAACTAAATAATTTTAGGTAAATTTTACTAAAAAGTGTTTTATTTAAGTTGGATATAGGTATTTAATAAATACCTAAATTGTATTTTGTAAAATATTTAGATATAAATAATAAATTTCAAATGAAATGTTACTTTGGTATAGGCAACTAAACATACATCAAAAATTTACTTTATTTTTATTTTACCAGTTTGATTTTTTTAATCAATATAATTAAAATTTCTATAATTATTTGTTGATACAATTAATTTAACGTATGTTTTTTCCTTGTATTACCATTAAAAGAAGTTCTTTATGTTAAGAAAATTTTTATACATTATAATAATATTTTATGTACCCTATGAATTATAACTAGTTAATTAAAGTGGTAGAATAATTTTTAATCAAGCTTGTTAGTGAACAAATAATTAATTCTTTATGCTTTTATTACAGAATCAAGACATTCCAGAAGGGTAGCTAGTAGCTAGAGGATATACATAGAGACATATGCATATCCGCCAACACCTTGTATTTTATATACCTACTTTTTATATTACTATTGTTAATAAAATGTAATATGTTAAGAAATGAAAATGGTTATCTATAATAACAAAAAAATGTATATTTTAACTGTAGATAATAAAAAAAATATAAATAAATAAGAGAAGAAGTGTAGATAGATTGCAGACTGTAGAGATATTTTTAGTAAATATAAGTTCAATGTTATTTATAATTGTAAAAAACTCTAGTGTAAGAATATGTTTGTCTTATTTCTTTTAAATAGGTAAAAAATAAAATATGTAAACATATACTGCCGTATTACAAAATATTTCATCTGATGTGTTGAACAAGATAAGATCTTCCTTGTTTATATTTATAAGTAAGGTACTTTTATAGTCAGTTTTATTTAGCTAGAAAATGCCTTAATCTTTTTAGTACACTTGTATCTATCTGAATTGTAGATAAAGTATTTTTCCTTAGCACGGCAATATACAATATGATATGAAAAAAAACGGCGTCAGCGATGGCTATGAAATGAAGATTGCTGTCATTTTATATATAAAATTATATGGAGATCGTCATTTCCTAAACACACTTTTAGGATTAAAATCTGTAGTTATAATAACTTATTATTGTGTATAATTAGAATAGAATGTAAATAAAAGCATTAGAATTAATTATTAGACCCAATATGCAATGATTTAATGTATGTAACCATTTAAAACGAATGTCTTTCGAATATTTTTTAATAAATATTTTAACATATTAAACATTTGTTTTATTGATAACAAAATTCCTTTACTATATCAATTAAGGGAAAACAAAATATATACTCTTAGAGAGCTCTTATTAAGTATAACAATGAAGAAGCAATAACTTAAAATATATAATGGCAAACTAAAAATATAAGTATATCTTTTCTGTTCAAAATTAAATTTTTGTTGAACAATGCCACAAAACCAAAAATATATAATCCCAATTTAATACCTATACGTTAATAAATATGATGATCTGGAAAATATATCTCATTTCTGTTCAAAAGTAAAATTTTTCATGGCAAAAATGTACAAGATTTGGTTACCCCGGGTGAAATTTTTCAACACCTCGAACAAATTTTTAACACTACCGATAAAAGCTGAATTTTGTTGACTCTAACACTTTGACCTCGTTTTCGAAATTAAAACGTTAATAACTCCGTAACTAAAAGAGGTACAGGGGTGCGCTTGGCGCCAATCGATAGAGAATTCAACCCTCTATCTGTATACAAAATTACAACCCCCTACGCCACCCTTTATTTTTTGGGCCAAAAATTTTCTAAGGTTAACCCCTTTGCTCATTTTTGCTCCAAAAAATAAAGTGTTTCGTAGGGGGTTGCAATTTTGTGTACAGATAGAGGGTTGAATTCCCTATCGATTGCGACTTAGCGCGCCCCAATATCTTAATTAGTTTTTGAGTAATTAACGTTTTTGTAAATGAGTCTAACTGTTTGAGCTCGTTGGCCAACGATTTCTAAATTAATTCAGATGACAAAAATATTTTTAAAAATGCACATTTTTGGTGCCTGGTATGCCAGTTTTGAACTAAACGAAATCAAATCTTTATGGAGTAACGTATGGTTACAGACTATTATCTATTATAGATTTAAAATGCGTTAATATATTTCTAAATAAATGCAAGGTAACTAGATTAATATTTATTGCATTTATTTTTAAATGTTTTTCTTTGATTTAGCAACCAGTAATACAATAATACTTAATGTTGCCTTGCTTTAAATTTAAAGACTATTTAAAGGATTCAAAGGAAACTACTTGAAAGCTTTAATAAGATTTATTAAAAAAATAATAATTTATAAATACAATAATTATTATATACAATTAATTATAAATTTATTGTTTTACATAATATACAGCCCAAATGGCATAAGTCCTTGGATTGCTCGTGGATTCTTCTATAGAATATTCTTTCTGATGTATACCGGACGTTCATATTTCCAGTAACTCTTTCGCATATTTCTGAAAACAATAAAAAGATATTTATACAGGGTGATCCAGTGTTCCGAAAACGCGCTCCATATCAGGTTTTTGTTAGATATTTTTACTCTAATATTTTCTACAATATGTATAGGGCCAATGGTAGCTTACATTTTGAACTATTAATATATAATTTTCATAGATATACAGGGCGATTCAAATATATCTTTACATCAAAGTTATAGATTTTAAATGGAAAGTTCAATATTTTTACTGTGTGGGGATTTGCCAAAGTTCCTATTCCATAAATACCTAAATTATACTGAACGTTTTTGAAATATGACCCCATTTTTAGACTAAATTTTCTACCCCGTACAGTATTTTTGATATTTTTTTAAAACTAATTATACACAATATATTGTATTGTAAATAGGCGGTGTATATACAGGGTGTCAAAACCAGATGTATTTTTTCTATACTATTTCAAATGAAACATCTATATCTTATATCATAAATAAACACGGTTTTTTTCCCTATATTATGTTTTAATATACACTTTCTATATTACAGTTGGGGGGTTGGAATCTTTGGTGTTACAACAGCAAAATAAAACACTAATTTACCACAATACACCAAAACACTTTACTTTTACACTGGAAGCTCGTTTCACTAACAATGTTTAGCATCACCAAATGATTAAATTCAGTTTTGCTAAAATGGTTAGCAAAATGAGCTGCCAGTGTAAAACTAAATTCTTTTGGTGTGTTATGGTGAACTAGTGTTTTATTCTATCTTCAATACCTAAAATTGATGTTTATTAAATAATAATTTTCATATATTGTCTTAAAAATATTTCCAACAGAAAAGATACCTATTCTTAAATTGTGATAGAATATTAAATGAACAGAAAATTTAGTACAAAAACAATCATACATATTTCAAAAACTACTAGATATAAATTATGATCTTATGGTATTTTAGGAATGAGGGTGTTAAATGACAAATCAGCCACATTCCATTAAAAGCTACAATTTTAAAGTATAAATATATTTAACTCACCTTGTATGTTTCTAAAAAAAATTTAAAACGTATGCTACTATTGACTCAACATATTATAGGAAAATATGACAGTGAAGACATCAACAGAAAACCTAAAATATGGTAGATTTAAAAAACGCATAAAAGATGTGTCAGGGTAAATTCTATTCTATTTTTCTTTAAAATATATATGAAGTATCAATTGAAGGGTCCACAGCTAAAACATGATAAGCACCATTTTACTAAGTTTGTAGGATAGCCCTGAACGGCTGGTGGTTATCAGGTTCTTTCCCCATATGTATATTTTTATTAGGCATATATCACAGGACTTAACAGCTTTTGCCAATTTGCAGAGTTTATACATTTTGTAGGGATCAGTTAGACCTACTATAATATTGTAAAACTCTAAAATTAAGAAACTGGTGCTTATCGTATTGTTCCTCTGGACTCTTCAATTATTATATTAAAATCTAATAAAAAATATTTATACAGTAAAAGAACATAAAGATATGTATGTTTTCTAGCATATTATTTCATTCATTCAAGTCGTTTCACTATTCAGCTTATAGAAAATTCTAACAAGTCAAAAAACACACTGAAACAACGTGAAAAAATGTTTACCTTATACCACAACCTCTCTTCATAATAATAATGCATTTACTAACAATGTAGAACAACATCCATTGAAAGCAGAAACCATCTCACGGGTATGCTGTTTCTACAGGATTCCAATCTTGTTGCTCTAGAATAACTGTTTTTTGGCACACACTTTCATTAAAAAGCAGAGTACAATCGGAGAGGTTTTCTTAAGAAATTCTAAGGAAGTTCTTCACATCTTCTAAAAAGAAAATTTCATTTCTTTCCATTTTTCTTGGTGTATTCTCCTTTCTTATCTTCATAAGAAGCTCTTATCACTGTATTATTACATATCTGTATCTGTAATAAAAAATGTTACTTCATATATTCATTGTCTTTACATATTACATATAAATGGTAGCTAAATAAGCAGTAAAAGAATACAAAGATGTGTGCTTTCTAGCAATTATTTCATTCACGTCGTTTCACTATTCAGCTTACAAAAAATTGTAACAAATCAAAAAACACACTGAAACAATGTGAACAAAAAGTTTACCTTATATCACAGCCTCTCTTCATAACAATAATACATTTTCTCTAACAGCGTAGAACAACGGATATACTTTTTCAACAGGAGTCCAGTCTTGTTGTTCCAGATTTACTCTTTTTTTAGCACACACTTTCAGTCGAGAAGCAGAGTACAATCAGAGAGGTTGTCTTTTAAAATTATATGGAAGTTCACATCTTCTCAAAAGAAAATTTCATTTCTTTCCATTTTTCTTGGTTTATTTCCCTTTCTTATCTTCATAAGAAACTCTTATCACTGTATTATTACATATCTGTATCTGTAAATGAAAAATTAATGTTACTTCAATATACCCATTGCCTTCACAGCTCACAGCACAGAATATTCTGTGTTTCACAGATTACATAAATATACGAATAGTAGATAAATAATATAGATCGTATTTTATAATTTTACCAGCGGATTTGTTATAGAACCAGATCAAACTGAAAATAAACTTATTTATTTTACTTTTATATAAGATATAAAAAAAATACATTTTCTAGAATTTTTAGCACATTTCTAGGGTTAGAATCAATATTAGTATAAAATTTTATTCATAGATGGCTCTCATTCAACACTTTTTGGGAGCTAAAAATTATAGATTTCTTTAAAATTCTAAGAAAATTTTAATAACAGTTCAGCTATTTACCGTTAGATAGCACTAGGTGCGTGTTTTTTTTTATAGAAATCGATAAATGAACAGTTTAAATATTTAACCAATGATGGCGCCACCCCTGCCTAGGAAAAACAAAACAGAAATCTGTATCATATATTAAAACTTCAAAACAGAAACCTGTACCTGCTTACTTTTAGAGCTTTCCAGATGGTGGCGCCATTATCGTTTAGACAATAGTTCCAAAGATTCTCACTAAAGAATAATGGCGCTGTTATCAATTAAACGCGGCAAAGCAAAAATTTGAATAGACGGGAAGCTTTTTTGATAAGTAAATGAACGGTTTTCTTGTTATTTCTTCATTGTATACATGCATAGTTGCATAAAATACCACATATGCCTCATTAAGATAAACAGTTCAAATTCTAAAGTAGATACAGAAACAAAACTACATCATTAACCATAAACAATATGAAGTAAAATTTTAAGTAGATGGCATTCTACTACCAAAAATAAAGAGAAGTAAGTAAAAGCCAAAAATTAGCCCAAATTAAAAATAGATGGTCTGAATTTGTCTATGAGAGTAAGGAACAATAAATGGAAACAATAGGAACATTAAAAACCAGTAAAAATATATTTACCCAAAAGAAATTAAATTTTACATATATTTAAGTCCTCTGATGGCATTGTTGGTAATCTCGCTTCTAGGGTAATATTCATGAAAAGAATAAAATAAATGCACTCCCCTGGAACTGTATACATCCATAGATTTGTATATAGTACAAAATCTGTAGAAAGAAATAAATAATATTAAATTTTATTAATTACGCTATAATAATTGTGCTTAGTATTTTTATTTGTTTCATAATATTATCTTAAAAAATATGGTTAGTGGCTAATAAATATTTATTTAAATTGTTTTCGAATAGTAAAATAAACATATTTATACAGGTAGCGTCTCAAAGGTGGCTCACCCCTATAACTTTTTTATATTTTAAAATAAAGAAACGAGATTTGGTATGTTAGTAAATGACATAAATTAGGATTGATTGACGTATTCAGTTTTTTCCGGCCATTTCCTGTTTTACCGGACTAAAGCTTTTGATTTTTAAATGCCACTCTCGGTATTTTTTTACTTTATTCGGTAGAAAATGATTCTCTGAATAGTATGCCATATCATATCAAGGCAACTTTTCATATTCTCGCTTAAAAAAAGCCAAATCGTATTTTTAATCTCAATTTTTTCAAATGCAACGAGGATGATGGTTCGTTAGCATATTTGGAAAAAGCATTTTCTTACGAATAATTTGGTAATGCGGTAAAATAAATGCGGTTCATAATGACAGTATTACTCAAGAATGACATAATGGAAACATCAGATGATCAAATTTATTTTTCCACGGCTCCTTGATTAAAAATTAGTGTTTTTAACACAGCCATAGATCTCAAGATTGAAATTTAAAATACGATTTTTTAAGAATGTCGAAAGTTGACATATGATATGTCATTCTATTCAGAATGTCATTTTCTATCGAATAAAATTAAAAAATACCGAGGGTGCCACTTAAAAATCAAATGTAAAGACCGAAAACAATTGAATACGTCAATCAATTCTAATTTATGTCATATACAAACATACCAAATCTCGTTTTTTTATCTGAATAAATAAAAAAGTTTTAGAGGTGAGGCACTTTTGGGACGCACCCGGTATACGGATTATGGAAAATCAATTCATTCAATTCTCATTCCAAATAAAATAAAGTTAAACAAAATAAAATGCTCAACACTAAATATTAAAAAAAACAGATTAAAAAGCACTTTTAAAAAAACAGACGCTATTTAGAGTTATGACAAATTTAAGAAACAAACCATAGGTATACGCTTTCATACCAATAAGGGCTTCTGTTCCTTCGACGCCCTTTGTTAGTTCCTTCGCACATCCTCGCAGACGGTCTGCCTTATTGTCCTACGCCAGCAACCAGACACCGGCGAGATCCAGTCATGAGGGCCTTATTAAGAAAAATACCAAGCCGACGGCGGCGGGCCCTACGTGCCCTCGTCTTGCATATTGGGGTGATGCAATCCTTGTTCCCCTCACGCTCGCCGTTGCCCTTATGTGCAACGCGAGGGTCCCGAAGAAGGGCAAGAATGGCATCAGTCGCCCAACGCGAGTCAAACGATTAAAAGTGGCTAAAAACCAAGCTAGGATTTGCAAAGAGGAAAAAACCTGACGTTAATGTATATGTGTATATGTTTTTGAGCTAAGGTAAATACAAAGTGAATAGTGTAGTGCATCTATGTAATCTGGAAAAAGGCAAACACTCCAAACGGAAAAAAATATGGAATCTATTATTTACCAGATTCGTTTTTGGCGGGTAATGTATCATGATTTTAATATTAGTTTGTTTTCGATATCCTGCAGGTTTATATATGGGTATCCAGAAATCCAGAGTTTTATTTTGATAGATTTAACTTCAGAAAAACAAAATTTTCTCTACATCTTTATTAAGAACCTCGCAATTAGTAGAATCAATTAGTGGTGTCAATTACACTTTATACTTTTTAGTTTAAACACAATTAAAATTAATAGAATATCCTAGCAACAGCTTGCGGTAGTCAGTTGTATCCATAGAGAAATCCTAATATTTAGTGTATAAAAAAATAAGCTTTTGGTCTAACCACATTTTCTCGTGGTTGATGATATATAATCAAAAGCCAAAATGACATTCCTCGAAAATTTTTAAGTATAATTCCAAGGCAATTGGACGCCGTTTTTTTTCGATCATACGGTATCATACGACCGAAAAGAAAACGGCGTCAGAAATGACTTGGAAATGAAGATCGCTTTTATTTTATATGGAAAATGTCAATGATCGTCATTTCCAAACCAACTGGACTGTTTTTTTTTCGATCATACGGTACAAGATGTAAATGATTAAGTGCAAAGAAATACAGAAGGTGATTGCTTGTTACAAAATACGGTTAAGTTTTTTACATGGGATTTTTGAGAATGAGACTAAATACTTTGAAAAAAAAATTCTAGGGCAATTACCTATTTTCTACCTAGAATAGTTAAGAAAAAATATCATCCAGTGATTGCAACACAAGGAATCCCTGAATCCTATTTGATCTGCACATTAAATTTATAAAAATGTAGTAGATGCTTCTCAAAATGATCAGCTGCAACTGATCCAGCAATTCTTTTATGGCGGGTTTATTTCTTGAAAAGCCTTTCGGCACTGAAAAAAAATAAGAGAGATAAAAAAAGTCGTTATTTTGTAAAATAATTACATTGGTCAGACAATTTTTTTGCGAGTAAAAAGCCATTGATAAACTAGTTTTGGTTTGGATTCTGGTAGTGGTTTTTTACCAAAAATAACTTTTATATTTTTGATATTTCTGTTTCAGTGGTGAATCACCAAGAAGTTTTTTACGATATCCTAGATATTATTCTTATATTAATCAAAATATGACGATCCATCTATATCTACATTCTTAAGTTCATACTCTATATAATTTAAGAATAATTTAAAATAATCTTACAATTAACTGGTCAAATAGCAGGATTTTTTTTGAAAAATATTGATTTTGTGTAGAGCTGGCAAATATCTAGAGATTATTTATAATAATATAATAACTATATAGTAGTTATAAAAATATATCTCATTTAATCCCAGTAAAAATAATAAATATTTATTATTGCTATTTATTTTTTGCACAAATTCGGAATTTTTAATTAATTTGACTAAAATGCATGGAACCTCAATTTTAGGATAAATAACACACGAAAAAAAAAACAAATGTCTGAAGGTCTTGGAATATTACAAACCATTTAAATGGAACCAAAGAATATCTTAATACCCATGGAACCCAATTAAAAATCTCCTAAATGGATATTTTATCTGGTTTTCTGTAGTTTTTTTTATATTTTGCTTTGCATCGATTGTCACCGTTTTTAATTTAACTGTTTTTAAAGTTTAATTTTTTTTTTATTTTTTTATATTTACTTAATTTTGTAATAACTGTATAACTGTGGAATTTGGAATTGATATGTAGAAATTACGATTAACAACTAAACAAAATGTTTAGTTGTTAAAACTATAAAACCCAAGCTTTTTTATGAAATTTACAATTTGTTCGAAGGGGTAAATTCTTCATATTAAAGTTACCCTTTAAATCTGCAGTAGCATCTTGCAGAATTGTGCTACATATTCACATAGAAGATACACCGTTGTGCATATTCATTGTGATTGCATTCTTTGGACTCTGGGCATTTCCTCAAAAATATTTCATTTATTTAATCCAAACTCCACTTACTGAATGTCTTTGCTGAAATTACGTTTTGTGATGCCAGTAAAAATCCCAACTTCATCTAATATACAGGGTGTCCCAGAAATAAGTGCAACTATTTTAACTGGTAGTATAGTTCAACCCCAGAAACACGCCTATGAGATTTTTACGCGAAAATTTTTTTTTGAAAAATCAGAATTTTTTGAAAAATTTTTTGGAAATCTTTTTAGTTTTTAGTTAAAAAAACATAATTTCTTGATAACATGGCAAAATAGGTAGTAGATTAAATTTACAAGAAAGAAAATCCAGAAAAGATCTAGTGTTTCGCAAAATTTTAGCAAAAAATAATTTTTTTTTGGAAATTTTGAAAGTAAAATAACTCCGTTATTTTGGACTTATGTGAAAAACGATAGAGAAAAAATATGTTTCTTTTATCGATATCTACCACCCCTTAAAATATTTGCACTTATTTCTGGGACACCCTGTATACAATTTAGTTTTAGTTACACATATTCCTCCGAAACGGCTGTACCGATTTTTATGAAATTTTATATGAGAATAGATTGTTATCTATTTTTATACCCCTAAGTAATAAGGCTGGTCCACCCCAA